GGCCAAGGCAGCGGGGGCCGTTCCCTCACTGTTTCCAGGATGGCTTCACGGGCCACATGAAACCACTTCGCGGGCTGCATCCGGCCCCCGGGCCTTGTGTTTGACATGTCTGAACTACTGTGTCATTCGGTGGAGGAGAAATGCTGGAGCAATGATGGTCAATGGACAGTTGCATGCATTCCCTGGGTCAGAATAGCTGGCAATGTAAACACTGTTGGACTGCACTGAGGATGCAAGTGAGCAGCAAAACAGTATACACTTAAATAATTATCAGAAGGAAGGAAATGGTTAAAATAGAAAGATACTACAGACAAAGGGAGAAAATAACCAATACTCACTTTAATGTCTGGGCTTTAAAGTCAAACTTCACTCTGGCAGCTCTCATCTAGTGGTTGAAAACAGCACAATTTAAAAAAAAAATGCCAAAAATCTTCAGAACAGCATTTGAAAAGGATATACACAACATTACAAGGACACTGTCAAGAGTTTCCTTTCTTAAATGTGTGGTGAATCTAGTCCCAATTCTTGGGCAACTAACAGTGGCAACTAACCTTCCTATAACCCTAGTAGGGCTCCTACTAAAATAAGAGAAATAGACTTTTCAAGGGAGCATTACTTCAGTCTTTTCCAGCAAGTGTGTAAGTTTGCAAAATCGGCAGTATCAGAATGAATACCGCAGTTGAAGAATTTGTAGCCTATATCAAAAGTAAAGAAAAAAACAGACGTAGATGTTACTAGGTAAATTAGATGTGTTTGAATGAATGGTTGGACTCTCCTAAATAGAGAAGCAGTGATAAACTGAACTACTCCAGAAGGCACGGTCTGAGCTGCAAATGTGATCCATAGAATGAAATGGCCTTCTGGAACGTGTAGTGGGAAGCTTGGTAGATCCAGAAAGCCAAGTAATACACAACGCTGTATCTTTATGAGTGCAATGGAAGCATCCCGACAATTCTCTAAGAATTCAGAAACGATCATTTGTTCCTGTTCACCTGGGATGAGTGGCAGGAAGAAATAAAGACAGGGATTTCACATAGCTGTTCCCCCCTCCCCCCAGAAAGATAAATACATTTTCATGTAAAACATGGCTGTCTTGTCACCCACATTTCCAGTGAAGGCAAGTTAATCTGTTCTCTTCATATATGACTCCTTGCAGAGTAAGTTCTTTCTTTTGCCTTTTTTAAAAAAGATCATTTATTTTGCCTGAGCTAAAGAGTCTTAACAAGAGAAATTACAGAAAGAATAATGTTACGGAGTGCACAATGCATAACCAAACTACATGATCGGGAGCCACAAGACAATTAGACGTCTAAGCAGATGGCACAGAGGAAGGAAGCATTCTATACAGCGCAGGAGATGAAGCAAATGTTTGTTGACTTGCAGTAAAAGTAACTGCTGTTTTAAAAGAGGCATGCATCACAATTGTGCACAGGTATTCCTTACTTAGCAGGCATGCATTACAATATACAGTTTCCTGTAGGATTATGTAGAACATGGCCAAAGCAGGTTCTAAGTAAAAAATAAAATCAACACTCGGGACAGCTAATGCTGGCCAAAAAGCAGAATGCTATGAAAAGCAACTATGAGTTGGGTCAAGCAGCAGAGTGAGGTAACCACAACAGACCTCTGACCCAGATTTCCTTTTGATTGTATCGTCTCTAATTAGAAGGTCCCCAAAGCGCTCATTAGTGATAAACTGATGGTGCGTAGGGATGACCCCAGTGTGCCTTCTGGCTGCAATATCAGCCTCTTCTTGCTCACGTTTAAGCCGTCTCTGGTCCTCTAAAAGTTTCTGCCATGAAATTGCATAAAATGGGCAGTAAATCATCCAATTTACAGCAATTTAATATCGGCAAAGAAATATCAGAAAACGAAATAAAAGAGTAGACAATCGCTCCACTGCAGCCCCAAAGTAAGCTTAGAGACATAATTATTGCATACTATGTATTAATCTAGATTGAAATAATCAAAAGAAGAACAGTTGGGATGTTTGTAGAGGATGGGTCTAGTTCAGGAGTAGGCCACCTTGGCTCTTTTATGACTCGCGGACTTCAACTCCCAGAATTCCTGAGCCAGCCATGCTGAGGGGAAAGGGAGAGGTTTCCAAGCTGAGGCATGCTGGCTCAGGAATTCTGGGAGTTGAAGTCCACGAGTCATGAAGGAGCCATAGTTCCCTCACGCTGGCTCAGGAATTCTGGGAGTTGAAGTCCACGAGTCATGAAGGAGCCAAGGTTGCCTAACCCTGGTCTAGTTCATCGACCATTTCCATTATCCCCCCTCTTCCTTTCTTAAGGACAGTCACGCTGAAGATCCACTGCTTATGTAGCCAAAATAGCACCGCCCACAACCGAAAGCTTATAGAAATATCATTTTTAAAACCAAACTCTCAAAATATAGTCCACTGAGGAAGTTCAAGAGGGCAATAAACAGGGGAAAGCTGGATACCAGCCTCCATAGCAAGGATTTCATCTCCACTGGCAAACAGACAGCCTTCTTTTCAGTTTCTCAACTGCAAAGAAATCAAGTCAGAACAAAATTCCTATGAAACAGGAGCTGTAGCCTTCAAACATCTGGATGGTCGTTCATAAAAAGAAAATCTCACTACTATTGCCACTGCTATTCAGATTACTGTTATGTTATTGTAACATTCTCCCAAACAATGTTGTGTAGTAAGTAATCCTGGTCTATTTTAACTGCATAGTTTAAGGTTAAGTGTTGTTTTTGGACTGGAAACACATTTGAAACCTTCAGAACAAGAAGTGAGTGCAGACTTATCTAGATATAAAATGGCAGCTATAGTTGCAAATATTCACTTATCAGAAACCAAGCTACCTTCCCAGAGGGATTCTGCAGAATCCCACAATGTTCCTTCAACTCAAGATGATGAAAGCTGATGTTTTGCTTTGTAAATAGCACATAATCTTCCTATGCACAAATGCTACTCATGGACACCACCACAGGATAATCTTGGGATTCAGTATCACATATTTGAGGGGAATTTTTTTTAAAAAAAAAATTACATTCTAAGATTAAAGCATGAAAACAGAATCTGATTCACATGCTTAGAAATTTCCTTCTCAAGTTCAAGAGACATTAAAGAAGCTTTCACAATTCTCCTTTTGTAACCACTATGTTTGTGCCCGTTTCCCGAAAAGATTAGACTGCGCACAAATTTGCTTTAAGTCAATCAATCATCAATCACCTAATGATAACAGGACTTGCTTGCCATCTTTTAACAAGCTAATAACAGATTTTTCATAGAGATGTAAGGATTAAGGCACAAATACCAGTTTCTAAATATTCTAAAAATATGAACAAATACAATTTTATTTTACAGATTCCTGCTGTTCCCAGTCTTCAGACAACTATAATTCTGTGATCAATGCATCTTAACCATTTTTGTTCTGCTCCATCCCCTAACTGTGTCAAGTGACCCCCCTTCTTTCCCCAATGAGTGATAGGAAAATCTTCCTGTTCTTTTTGCTTGAAACTCTGGAGGGAGGGGAAAACATCTCCATTAAATTGCTCCTCTGAGTATCAGCAGGTTCCAGTGCAAGAAAAGGAATTGAAGTGGACTGACTGGATTCTGCAGTGCTCTTGCACTACTCAGCCACTACTTAATGGTGCCCCAGATTTTCTTCTGTTTCTAAAGCAGGCCCAGGCAACCACTCCAAACGATGATGACATAAAAATGATGAAACATGCACTTTCATACTTGCATCTCAAGTGTGGGATGCAAGTATGTAAATCCTGGGTTTCATTTTGTGACATCAGCTTATTTTGTCACTGAACCCCTCCTTCCCCCTATTGCAGATACCTACGGTTAGAGCTGAACTATGGTCACCAGAGGCACTTCAAGAGGCCATCCCTCATGCAGTTCTAGCTTTCCTACATAAAGCAACAGAAAAAGGTAAGGACTTGTCTGATTGGTGAGCATGGCAACCAACCTGGGAAGGAGACCAATGACAATTGTTCCAAAACTTTGCTGGACTATTTAACGAAGTCTCACTCTGTTCTGAAGGGCTTACTTTGAGGCTGATACCTGTAGGCCAGGGGTCTTCAAACTTGGCCCTTTGATGACTTGTGGACTTCAACTCCCAGAATTCCTCAGCCAGGCACGCGTGCCTGGCTGAGGAATTCTGGGAGTTGAAGTCCACAAGTCATCAAAGGGCCAAGTTTGAAGACCCTTGCTGTAGGCTTACTTCCAAGTGAACAATATTGCACTCAATTTGTCTTGGTTACCAACGATAGCCAATCCTTTTGATAAAAATCAGCTGTTTTCTCTAGCACTCTGTTCTTTAGCACTCAGGTTTATTCTCAAATCTTTTCGGGTGCTGCTGTTGATTTATTTACAAACGTATCCCAATCTTACATTCCCAAGGCAGTTAATAAATGCCAACTCGGACGTTTTGCTTATGATCAAATATTGTTCCACTTATCACCCACCATACTGATTTTGTGAAAATATTATCTGTAACGGGAAGGTTACCTCTTTATCACTGCTGCGCCTTTGGAAATTTTCTTCAGGACTCTCTACATAATCAAGTGTTGCAAAATGTCTTGGTGATTCTGAATCTACTTTAAAACAACACAATGTCATTAAAATTAATGTATGAAATGAACCCAGGAGAAAACCAAAAAACGAAACCTTTACTTGGATCAATTAATTTAAAATAATTCCTTAATTTGCTAAACAATAAGCAAACAAACTACTGTGGAAAAAAAATTGAAAGAAGGAAGTTTTAGCCCATCAAAAGACTCATCAAAGAAAACAAATTTCTGTTCAGCAATTATGATTTAATGTTGCTGAGGAAGGGTGTTTAATTGCATGCAATAATACTGACACATAGACACTCACCCACACATATACAGATACATGTATGGATGAACACAAAACAGGTACTTCACAAGAATTGAAAAAACTGCTCCTAGATAGTGCATTTATTAATGTTGTTCCTTTAGGGATGCAAATTACAAGGATCTTAAACTGGTTTCCATAAATAAATCACCTTCTAAATGATGGCATTTGGGACAAACTGCTTTGATGCTGATTAGAAGGATAGCAGAAATGATTTCTCAGTAGCTGAGCCAAAGTCCTGAAATGTAAGCAGGACAGGACATACAAGGAAAAGAACGAACACAGTAGAGGGGGTTTAAAAAAAAAAAAAGCAGGAAAGGAAAAAGAGGCAGAAATGGTAAAGTACATCAAAATACCACAAGCAGAGTATGTCCTGAGTCTCTTGGGGGTGGGGGGGATCTTGCTCATGTAAGAAGCAAAAGGAAAATTACTAAACACATTTGCAGTGTCCAAAAGAAAAACAGAGCAGTTTAGCGGAGCTTCGAGATTCAGAAAGTGGCTCATCTTATGATGATATCCCAACAGACAAGGCATTTGGGAGCTCAGGTTTTCTTTCTGCCCGTATCCACAAAATTCCTGCTTGACTGAAGGATAGTCTGGATCTCACAGCTGGACAATGATGGATCTCCTTGCACTGCTGAGGAAAATGCACTGCTAGACCTTTTTCTAGCTGAAGAAAAATAGGCCCACGGGACATATCTAGGAAGCTGCTTATTGGATAATTCCCTTTGGAGACTCTTTTCCTAATCATGACTCTTGTTCCACCTTTAGTATTGCTACAAGATTGGGATGAGGTAGCAGCTAGATTGGCCATATCCTTTTGTGCCAATTCTATTTAAAAACAGCAGGTACTGAAGGGTTAATTTCGCAAATGCAGCAAGTTAAGAGAAAGTATGCTTGGAGATCTATTCCTAAGTCTTCCAGTTAGAGTAGATTCCTTTCTTTCTTTTAGTCATCCTCGGGATTGGGATGCAAAATCAAACATCTTCCAACAGGAGTCCATGTTGATTGACTTGATGTGTGATTTTATACAGCCTGGCAAAGTCCTTCCCCTTCTTTTGGATGTTTGTGACTACTTTCAGCACGATCTTTTTCTTGCTATTCATAAACAAACTATAGATGTTTCCACAGCTTTCTATTTTCCCATTAGTGAAATATGACTACAAAATAAGTAGAATAGTACAGCTTTGAACTTGAAAGAGGGGATGTGACTTCTTCTTCTTCTTCTTCTTCTTCTTCTTCTTCTTCTTCTTCTTCTTCTTCTTCTTCTTCTTCTTCTTCTTCTTCTTCTTCTTCTTCTTCTTCTTCTTCTTCTTCTTCTTCTTCTTCTTCTTCTTCTTCTTCTTCTTCTTCTTCTTCTTCTTCTTCTTCTTCTTCTTCTTCTTCTTCTTCTTCTTCTTCTTCTCCTCCTCCTTCTTCTTCTTCTTCTTCTTCTTCCTCTTCCTCTTCCTCTTCCTCTGCCATATCCGTTATCGGACGTTGGCGATCATGTTGGCGATCCTGTTTTTATCAGCAGCCGCACAAAAAAGTGCTGCTGAGTTTTGTCCAAACCAAATCTCTTTCTGTAAGGTTCCTTAAGTGGATTGTGTACTAAAACTGCCCCAATTTTATGAGCATTCTGACCTTATGAATAATTATTTGGCAATCAACTACTATTTCAACAAGCATTATTATCAAGCCAACTATCCCAATGCTAAATCTGTGCACTTGTTATAACTGTAAACAACTTAGAATGCATTAAATGGGTGGCAATAGAATACACGTATAATTTAAAAAAAACACACACACACAATTTGTTCCTATAATAAAAAAACCCTTAAATTTCATGTTATTTTCAGTCAAAGAATAATGAATTTTATCTTCATTTTGAATTTGAATTTCTAAGACATTAAGTATCTCATTCAATTATGTGATTTATAATCTGCTAAGGATCCTTGCCAGCTTCTCATCCAACTCACTTATAAAAACACAGAAGAGCAAAAGGCCAGGAACAAATTTTGTGATGTTCCACTTGCTTCTTCTCTAGAGCTAGATGAGAAATGATGGATGGGAACTCAGAATAAGAACCCTGCACTAGCTCTGCACCCACTTAATTGTCTTGCCATCCAAGACAGAATGAAATAGTTGGTTAACAAGTAACGTCATGGGAATTTTGTCAAATCCTTTGCTAAATCAAATCCCTCAATGCCTCAAATTGTCCCATAAACCTATCACGGATGTCGTTCATTTAAAAATGAATAAAATTGGCTTGGCAAAAATTGTTTTGACAAACCAATTACCGACATCTGGTAATATTCACATTGTTTCCAAGGTACTTACAGATCAGCCACTTTAAGATCTGCTCTAGAATGTCCCCCGATAAAATCTGTAGTTCTAGAATTCTCATTCCCCCTCGTCAAAACAGAGATGACATTACCTGTCCTTATTTCACCCAGCATTTCATATAATCTTGTGAATGTATCAGATAAACTTTGTAAAGGTTTGGCCAAACCATCAAGATGTTCTTGAATTATTCTGGACATTTTGGAGATTTAACCTCATATAGTTGGATTTCTGAACAAAGGGTGTTTTTTTAAAAAACATAGAATGCAATTCCTCTTCTAGTTCTGGTCCTTCTGAAGAAACTGAATTTTTGATTGCTAAATTTCCAATCACAGAAGTCTCACAAAGACAAGTGCTGTGATGCCAAACCAAGGAGGAGAGATGATTCAGCTATCACACTCTAGGTTAGTGACGTTATCATGATCACAATATTAAGGGTTCATACGATAATAAGCCAAAGTCTGTAATCTCATCACCCTTTCTTTTACGCAAGCTGCTCTTAGATGCAAAAAAATCCAGGCTTTTCTTTGAATTGTGACATGTGGAATCTTGATATAAGTGCAATACCATGTTACACATTTACTCTTCATAGTTTGATCACAACAATGTTCACTTTACCTTTTGTGGATGCTGAACTGGATGGACGCTTCAAGCCACTCAGCCCTTTCAAAGGGATATCTCCTCCGTCCAAAACACTTTTATAAATCTGCCTTTCATTTCCCAGCTCAGTGAAATGACTAAATTCTGATTCCAACTCTTTCTTTACAGGATGGTAGCTGGTTTACAAGAGGGAAAACATATTTTTTCAGCAACTAAAAGCAAATTGTTAAATAAAACATCTAGAGTCATGCTATCTGGTACCCCCAAGAGAACCGCTAAATGCACCTCTTGCTTCAGATTAATTTCAGGAATTGCACAAAAATGTGCAATCCATGGCAAGCCTTTTATGAAGCGTCTGATTTTGACTCACCACAAGAAAAAAAAATGAGTCGAATAAGGCTTATCTTCATCAAATGAAATGCTTTTAAAAAGTTCAACTTAGGGCCTCACTAATTCAAATATTATAACACCCACTGTTTGCCACTTAAAATATGAAAATAAAAATTAACTATTTTATTAGATTGAATTATTTTGTTTGATAAAATTTAATATTAATCTTCTGATGTTTTCAGAACCTGCAATGAGTAAAGTAGATTTTTGGGGTAGGAAATTTCTCTGACTTAGGTTGACTCCCTCTTCCTACACCAGGGGTGTCAAACTCAATTTCATTGAGGGCTGCATCAGCACTGCGGTTGCCCTCGGGGGGGCGAGGGGGGCGGCCTACTGGGTGGGCGTGGATGGAGTGGGTGTGGCCTACTGGGTAGGCATGGCCAGCTCTACATCGTTCGCACCAAGGGTGCCTGTGGGGGCCTGGGCAGGAGTGGGACAGTCTCTCTGGCAGAAGGGGGTGGGACCGGGGCAAGCGCCAAGGCATGGTCCATTTCTTCATTCCTCACAAAGGGTGACACCTCCCCAGCATGCACCCAGGGGGCGGGGCCGACACAGCAGGAGCTGGTTCCTCACTGTTTCTAGATGGCCTTGTGGAGCTAAGACTGAATGCATTTCAGCATAGATGGCCACCACAAAATTGTACATTGGCTCCCGGCCGGCCTGGGCCATGGCCAAGGCAGCGGGAGCCGTTCCCTCACTGTTTCCAGGAGGCTTCGCGGGCCACATGAAACCACTTTGCGGGCCGCATCCGGCCCCCGGGCCTTGTGTTTGACATGTCTGTCCTACACTCTTCCTTTATTGGAATTTACTGTTCTCGATTTATTAGTACAAAAGATCTGTCCTCTTTCCACTGAGTATCTGAACTCTGTCCAACAAGTCTAATTAGCCCCCATGCTTTTTCTCAAAGGAAACAAAGTGCTAGATCAGCCATAAAACAGACATAAGGAATGCTGATTCAGAGAAACAAAGGCGCTGAGAGGCAAATAAGTCTGCAGAAGTAGCATCTCAGCAAGGTACATCTTAAGAGCCTTCTGAATCATAGAATCATAGGGTTGGAAGGGACCTTGAAGGGCTTTTCTTTCATTAGAGTTTAGCTCAAGTATTCACTACAATATTTCATCACTTAATAGTAATAATAATAAAGTTGGAAGGGACCTTGGAGGTCATCTAGTCTTCATGGACTTTGTGGAGGTCTTCTTGTCCAACCCCTTACCCATGGCGACAGAGCACCCACAACTCCCTGAGGCAAGCTGTTCCACTGATGAGTTGCTCTTGCTGTCAGGAAATTCATTTCCATGTTGGATCTCTCTCTGATGAGTTTCTGCCTTCTCTTCGTTAGGCTAAACATACCTAGTTCCCTTAACCATCCATCATATGATTTAGCCTGATGAACAGTTAAGGGAACTAGGTATGTTTAGTCTAACGAAGAAGAGGCAAAGGGATAGCCATCTTCCAGTATTTGAGAGGCCACCACAGAGGAGAGAGGTTAGACCTATTCTCCAAACCAACTCAGGGCAGGACAAGAAATAATGGGTGGAAGATCATTAAAGAGAAATCCAGCCTAGATCTAAGAAGAAATCTATTGACAGTGAGAACAATTAATCAGTTGAACACCTTACCTCCTGAAGTTGTGGTGCTCCATGATTGGAGGTTTTCAAGAGACTGGACAGCCATTTGACCTGGGTCTATAGGGTCTCCTGCTCAAGCAGGGGGCTGGACTAGAAGACCTCCAAGATATTTTCTAATGCTATTATTCTATGCTCTGTGACTACATTTATTAGTGACCAGTCACAGAAAAAAAATGAAAGGGAGGGTAAAATATGAATGTAGTTATAACTGCTGTTGACTGGAAACCACATTACTTTTTAAATTTCTATTTCTTTATTTCTTTTTCACTTTTTTAAATTACTTTTCCCTATTCTTTTTCTCTTCAATTCAAAATCTGTATTGTTTTTATTCTGTTGAAAACATATTTAATAAACATTATTTTAAAAAATAAAATAAAATACTGCAATACCAAGTACAGAGACCAGAATAGGAAATGATATCCTGCATGTGAAGGGGATAGAAAGAAGTCAAAGTATATAACCCAAGATTTTCAGACCATCTCTACAAGTACATGGAGAACAGACAGGAAGACCTAGATGTATTAATACAGAAAGGCCAATATAATTTGTAGGGTAGGGTACAGTTCAGAGTAAAATGCAAGCCTTGAAATGTATTCAAAATGGAAATATCAGTCCTTGAAGGTAGGCCAGGTCAGGAAAAAGACACCATAAGGACCACTGAAACGCTACTTCATAATAACAAGATATAATAACAAAATCTTCAAAGCCTGGAAGAATTTCTCTTCCCTCACCTTATACTCAAGAGAATCAAGGCAGGTCAATCTTGAGTTTCTTTCTCATCTCCTTCTCTCTTTTAAGGCTAAACAGGCTTTTTCTTATCTGAGCAGTATGCTTTTGTGTTGCTCAGCTGAGTGCACAGAGAAATGAATCCAAAGGAGTGATTTTTAAAAAAAATTGATCAACCCTAAATCTTTTATTCTAAATTTTTCAATTATTACTTCAATGGCCTTTTTATTCATATTAACTTCAAGCCACATGGATGAACAATATCCATTGTATCCCACAAATTTAAGGAAAAGACACATGAAATTCCTATCCTGGTGTGCAATTAATAACCCTTTAAGACCTAGAGATGTATTTCCAAAACATGAACTGAAACATCGAAGAGATATTTCAAAACTTACTGAGGCAAATGCTCTGAAAGAGTTTCCTGTGGAGGGGAGCTTGCTGCATTCTGCAAGAATCCAGACAAAGAAGCACTTACTAAAGGATACTTTATGTTAAAGCAAAAGACAAAAGATTATTAACCTCTACCTAGAGCTCAGATTTTTTTTTTATTACCAGGTCTCATGACAGATTGTGAAATAACTACTAATCTAGATTTCCTTCATCACAGAAAATTCATACAATCCATACTGTAGACATAAAGCTTACTCTTTTGCCTGTGAATGTTTTACTAAAACCCTAACGATAAATAAAATGATTGTTTATACCAGTGGTTCTCAACCTGTGGCCCGCGGACCCCTGGGGCACGCAATGTCATCACAGAGGACCCATGAAAGCTTGAAGAAATGTTCTGATTTTTTTTTTTAAAGTAAAATCTGAATGAACAAATGAGTAAACAAATGAAAGCAAGACGGAATGGGGAAAAGAACAAAATCTTAATTTTTAACGCTTGTTTTGTAAAACTTGGCTTTTTTAACCTATTGCCTCAATTAAAAACAATCGGAGGTATAAATCGACTATGAGAGTAGCTGTCTGATGGCGAACAGCTGCCTTTGGTATTTCTGCACATGCTAAGAACATGCAAGTGCATGACAGTGCATGCTTTCGCACAGACAGAGAAAGGGGGCCATGGGGCAGAGAAAGCCAAGTCAGTCATTGTCAGTGTGAGCGAGCGTTTGGACCGATTTTGTAATTGTCTTCGATTTCTACTAACCGTTTGGTTATCGTTCATTAGGGTGTTTTTTTTATATATATTGCTGCAGTGGATTTCATGACAGCGCATTTCGATTTAGCCTCAGGCTGGATTGCTGGGTGAATTTGAAATGTAAGGGGACTGATATTAATGAGGATGCATCCTGCTCAAAGCAAAGTGAGGCTTCCAGTCACTTAAAAAAGTATTGCCATTATAGCAAGGAATGTCTGTCGACTGGCTTCACCTGTACAGGTCATGAGGGACGAGCAACTATCACATTGAGTGTTGTGTTAATAAGGTACTGTCCAATGAGGATATGAAACCGTCAAAACATCTAGATACAAAACATAAGGCACATGCCACAAAGAACATCATTTTTTTTCAAAAGCAGGGAATGTGTGTTTTGGGAAAGTAAGAAAATGGTTAAAAAAAAAAGACTGCAACTGGTTGTAATAATGAAAATGTAGTTAAGGGCCTCATTTGATGTTTCTCAACGATGAGCAAAATCCAGAAAACCGCACACTATAACTGAAGAACTTACATTATCTGCTGCAAAAATCATGGTTTCTACGTTAATCAGCAAGCAAGCTGCCAAGGACTTTTCCATAATACCTTTGTCAAATGACACAGTTAAGGCCTAGGGGGAATTTTTAGTGGGGTTTTAAGAATAATTTTAAACTGACACAGGCCACATCAAATATTTCATTTTAATTAGGTTTTAAAGTGGGTATTTTTATCTCTGTATTTGTTTTACCAGGCTGTCAGCCGCCCTGAGTCCGTAAGGAGAAGGGCGGGATAAAAATCCAAACAATAAATAAATAAACAATAAAGAGGCAAATCGATGGTTTGTCAGCCAATATTAAAGGGAGAATTCACCTATCCCCCCTATTTTGCAGTGCAACTGGACAAAAAAGTATGGACATAACAGACAAAGAGACCTTACTGTGCTACGTTAGGTATCAGCATGAGAGAAATGTTTTCAAAGACATACTTTTCCTCTCCTTGTTGGTAGATACCACAGCTGAGGAAATATTCACCAACTTAAAAAAGTTTATAACATCTCATGACATGGGCTGGTTGAAAAGCATTGGAATTAGCACAGACGGTGCGCGAGGAATGTCTACAAAAGCATACTGGGCTTGTTAACATGTATTAAGGAAGCCATGCCATCAATGACTTGGTACTATTGTTGCAAACACACAGAAACCCTAATTGTTGAAAAGATGCCCCAAATCCTAAAGCAGACCTTTAACGTATCAGCCGAAATTGTAAATTTTATTTAAAAAAAAGCAGATCACTGAATTCAAGACTTTTTGAACAGCTTTTTGAGGACATGGGACAGTGAACATCAGCAACCTCTGCTACGCTATGATGTTCGTTGGCTATCAGGAAAAAGTTTTAGGAATAATGGAGAAGCAGTTTCATCTCAGCAATCATTTGACAGATTTTTCCTGGTATTTAAAAAAGGTGAAGAAAAGGTCGAGAACCACTGGTTTGTACCACTTTGTGACAGCATACTCACATTAATAGGAGAAACTATTTCTAGGGAGAAAACTAAATCTCCTACCTTTGAAAAGTGAGGAAATGGCATGCCTCTAATCTACAGGAAATCCATCTGAGAGTCCTCCTATATCAGGGGTAGGCAACCTTGGCTCTTTTATGACTGGTGGACTTCAACTCCCAGAATTCCTGAGCCAGCTATGTCCACCAGTCATAAAAGAGCCAAGGTTGCCTACCCCTGTCCTATATTGAGCATTTGCTATTCTGAATGGCAGAACATTGTAGAGGTACTATCACTGCGCTGGCCCTGCACCACTTTAGCCTTCTTATTCTGGGGAATTTTAGAATCCACTGCCCAATCAAAAGCAATTCTATATTTCATGCCTGTCACAACACCTATATCTGGCTCCATACATGACACAGGACATATGCTAAGATTTAATATTCAGTTCACTGGAGCCAGTGATCTGAAAATGCAGCTTTTCTGGATCCACCAGCGTGACCCTCTCCACTGCTACCAATTGCCCGCCAAGCACAATTTAAGGCTATATTTATTGATTCATTTTATTATTTTTCTATCTACAATCAGGAAACTCTCAGCACGTTACAAATCCAGATAACAATAATATACCGATGCTGACCTTAATGTTCTGAAAGCCTAGTGCAGGGGTAGGCGACCTTGGCTCTTTTATGATTCGTGGACTTCAACTCCCAGAATTCCTGAACCAGCCATGCTGAGGGGAAAGGGAGAAGTTTCCAAGCTGAGCTATGCTGGCTCAGGAATTCTGGGAGTTGAAGTCCACGAGTCATAAAAGAGCCAAGGTTGCCTACCGCTGGCCTAGGGCCACCCTACTTTTAAGACTCTCTTCCTTTCCCAAAAGCCCAGCACGAGAGGCCCTTCATAAATTCTCTGCCAGTTGCCAATATCTGGGACTGGAGAAAATTCTCTCCAGCCCAACTTAAGAGGTCAGAGATGAATTTCTACTGCCAAGCTTTTAATGGTTAATTGTTCAATGTTAATCAGTATTATTATACCAATATTTTTATTGTTGACTTCATCTGTTCCTGGAGTAATATTTTATACTCTGCATCATTTACTGTTAGGATCTGCTTTAAATGCTTGGCACAAAACAAAAAGACAGGGATAAATTCAATCCTCAAAAATTCATTTAAAAACATCTCTTTTGAATCACAACGAATTCAAAGATCATGACAGATGATTACCTAAGTTTACAAAAACTAATCAAGGCAAGTCAAACTCCAACCTTAGGCTGCAGGAAATGTAAATGGCTAACAAGCTATGATTAACCTTACCTTTAAAAATACTTCAAATTTTTGAGGTCAGCTATTTTTTTTTAAAAAAAATATATTTAAAATTAATCAAAGTACGGGGTTTAGGTTTTAAAACTAAATCGAACTTCTACAAGCTGGAAATAAAAAACAACTTGGCAATATTATATCTCTATATTTGTCTAGCAATGTATAAAAACAAAATAGCTTCTGAGATGCTGATTAGGGGAAGATTGACTGGAAAAAAAGTAAACATGCATTGAAAAGGCGCTATTTTACAGGGTCAGCAAGATGGTCGTATTACACTTACAAGGGCAAAAATTCTGAATGAATAAGCAAGTAAGAGACTTCCATTCAAAAGGTTTCTGAATGGCTGTGTTCATTGTGGCCTATATTAAATCAGAAAGGAAAGTTCAGCTTCAAACAATGGATACAGAAGCCCTGGGTATTCTGATACCTCATTACAGCCTTTCCCCACCAGCCCTTTGTCTCATGTGGAAACAGGAAGGATTCAATGAAGCAGATGGTGAGGTTTCCTTTCAATGGACAACAGATTGTCCCAACTGCCAAAGTGGAGCTAGGAACCTCCTGCCATACAGGCAGCAGTGCCAGTGATTTTGCAGATTTTATAGGGTTTTTTTCCTCATTAGAAAAAAATGAAGAAGCAAGAAGGCACTTCAGATTGGATATAGGAAGGCTTCCACATCATGGACATTGCCAGGAAGCAGTCACCCCTCCAGCAAATTAAGGAAGATGTCTTCTATTCAGTCACTGTCGGAAGCAAAGTCAGAAACCGTATTATTTCCTTGGGCTGGCTCAGGGGTAGGCAACCTTGGCTCTTTTATGACTCGTGGACTTCAACTCCCAGAATTCCTGAGCCAGCATAGCTCAGCTTGGAAACTTCTCCCTCTCCCCTCAGCATGGCTGGCTCAGGAATTCTGGGAGTTGAAGTCCATGAGTCATAAAAGAGCCAAGATTGCCTACCCCTGGGCTGGCTCTTATTTCTCCTTCGGCAGAGGAGTACGTATAGAGAACTGGGTTTCCTTATTCTTAAATTCAGAACTTCTGCATTTCCGTTGAATTTTACTTTTATCTGCTATTAGCCTTTCTCTGCCTCATGTTGCCCTGTTGTCTGGTTGTTCACAGCAATCGCCATCGCCAAACAGAAAATGGCAACAGAAAGAACAGAATGTACAGTATGAGCTGGACCTAGTTTAGGATGGTATCTAAACACGACTGCTACACGCTACTAATTATACCGATTATACCATAACTGGGGAATGGTTAGCATACTATTGCTTGTAAGAACAGGTGATATCCAGCAACATCTCTGCTAGAAAGCGTAGAACTAAAACAAGCAGCATGAGATACCTTCAGTTGCTTTTGATCTGGGGCTTTATAAAGCTTCTCCATTTTGTCTATATCTGCATCTAATTCAGTATGATAGAGGCAGTGGTTTTTTCCTGGATCAACCTGGTTAAAAAGGAAAAGTTGGAAAGGCTGAAGACTTAAACCTGACCCTTTTAATAAGAAAATATGCCACATATATAGGACAACATTCCAATACTCTCTATGTATTCAAATACGGCTTAGAAGGTTCACTGCTGAATTTTTCAAGATCAATTTTATCCTAATTTTTATCAGCAAATAAATTTAAAATGCATTCTTGCTAGAAAAACAACTACATATCACAAAAATAAAAAAGATGCTCTGATCTAGCGAAGATTACAATATTTTGGTCCATTACATATATAAGTTCAGTTAAATTCAAAGCACTCCAATTCAAACACTGCTACAGATGAAAGATAAGCTCTAATATACACACACACAACTATATTGCATACATTATATATTCAATTTACCTTTCTATCCTCTCTAGTAAGGATAGAGCAATCTCCAGGAGTATAATCCCATATCTTTTTTGGAGGCTAATGGAAAGCAGAGGAGGAAATGAGGAAATGAAGATAAAGACATCACAGAGAATATGGAAACTCAACTAGTGCAGAAAAGAGTATATCGGGGGAAATTGTGTCAACATCAGAAATAAAAAGTGAAAAGAGAGAGAAAGTAAACCTGCTCTAGAACAACCACAGATTAGAGCAAGAAAACTGTGCAGTCTTGATCTGGTTTGCTTGAAACAACAGCTTAATAACTGCTACCAATCCCTCTGAGCCTCATAGGAACAGTAGTTTAACAAATACTGTTTGGTAATCATTTCAAAAAGATAATTCTTTTTCCCCAAAAGAAAAACAAACAAGTATGTTTATACAATGGTAATGGATAGTTCTACTCTTAAAAGCATCCTAGTCTTTAACATCGTACATACCGGAGTTTCTAGAGATGTGGTGTAAAATAATGTAAACATAGAGATATTCATTTCATATTCTGAATACTTAACCAATGCTATTATTTCAGTTGAATAAAATCAGAGAAACTAGTTTAACGTGCAGGATAAACATTTTAGCGCAATTCTGGGTGCCAAGATATTTTGGAAGCTCTCTCTGTTCACCACAGAGTTTGCCTACTATTGGTGAACAGAGAGAGCTTCCAAAATTTATCCTTACACAATTTATCCTTTATGATTTATCTTCTATGATCCTTACACAATTTATCCTTATTACAATTTATCCTCTATGATTCATAGAATTTCATTCATAGATGGATGAGATGCTATGACCTTATTTTCAAGATTCCAGGACACCCCAGAGACATTAGGGTTAAAAGTTTCTGACTTGTAATATTTGGAGGGCTTAAGGGGAGAAATATAATTGTACAGAAACAGGATACGTTCTATGTAAGCCCCCAGAAGACCAGGCAGGATAGGCGATCATGGTGCAGTCCCTTAGTCCTGTTTGTTCTAGAAGGAGTTTGTCTATATCCATTCTTGAATATGAAGATGATTTATCAAATACCAAAAAGTATTTGCAGAAATCTTCCAAATCGGATCAAGAAACAAATCTTTGCAAATATATAGTTTATTCGTAGAACAATTGCTCAAAAAACTCCAATCAGAAGTATCCAGGCTAGTCAGTAGATACTCTAATAATTGTGAAATCATCATATGAAATTTAAAATATTACTTTATTACTTTTCAATTAAAACAACAATGTGATTAAAAATTCTAATAATGGTTAGTTGTTACACAGTGAATTAGCACTGGATTCTCTAGAAGCTTGAAAATTTCGTTCCAAGAAATGAATTATTTACTGCTATAAATCTGTATCTATAATTTACCATGGATATTTGGAAAAGCTGGAGATACCTTTTGGCACTTGATCTTTTCTCCCTTATTCCTTCTACGTTGTGAAGCATCGGGATAAACTGATACAGTGCAATGAATGGGAAGATAAAGGATTGTACAGATTTAAGGATGAAACCGTCATTTCTGGTGGAAATATTTTATAGAACTGGTTTTAAAATTCTCTGAATAATCAAACCTTGGGTTTTCTCTAATTTTATTTGAAAGTTGAATCTTTTCTCCATAAGCTTTACCAAATCTCATCCGTCGCCAACATTGAATTTTTTGATGGACAGTTCTAATGCTTACTGAAGCCTTTACAATCTACTGTAATACTGCTTCTGTGAAAAATCTTTTGTTTGCTTGTAACCTTCACGTGCACCATAGGGCAACAATTTTTGAAGCAAGGTACTTCAAATGGGTTAATTTACAGGAACTATTACTCCTATGGGACTGAAATTTGGAAAAGTTGTGGCCCCTTCACTGATGCGGTCAGCTACAGTCAGGTGATCATCACTTCCACTGCTAGCTTTGCCCAAGGAAAATCAATGGGAAAGCCAGCAGGAAATTGGAAGTTCCAGGTGAGTAAGGGGCTTCTGTCAGGTGGGGAAGGAGGGGCTACGTGGAGGGATGACATGCAGGTTGGGAGCTGCCTGGCAGTGATACACAGATTGGTTAGTGTTGGGAAGGCACACAAGTGATAAGAAAGTAAGTATCTCTGAAAACTCACATCAAATTGTATTTTAGGCTTTTTCTTGAAAGTATAAAACATTCTGGGAAAAGGATTAGGGATTTATAAATGGGCATCAAATTCATGAAAGCCATGAAAAATCAATCCAAAAGATAATCTCCACTTGGATTTTTCTTTCTTTCAATCTCTATGTGTGCCTTCTTGTCAGTATTGACTCTTGGACCTGGACAAGTCTCTGAAGTTTTCTTGACAAAGTTTTGCAGAAGTGGTTTGCCATTGCCTCTTTCCTAGGGCTGAAAGAAAGTGACTGGCCCAACGTCATCCAGCTGGCTTTGTGTATAAGGTGAGACTAGAACTCATGATCTCCCAGCTACTAGCCTGTTGGCCTTATCCACTACACCAAATTGGTTTCCCCCACATATTTTCTAAAATTACATAGTGCGTAATAACTGTCCATGGAAGTAAATACAATCATTGATAGATTTTACCATTTCCAGTTGGCATTCAGTTATTCATTTTGCCTCAACAGTTTTAAGTTATGGAATTTTACTGTTGGCATAACTTTGTGCAATAGATTAATTATCAACTTTATTATTGAAAATATAAGAAAACCACAGTACATCTTTCTTGGATCAATCATATTTAAAAGTGCATGAAATTATTTTGGATGAGGAATAAACCAAACAACAAAGAGCTTTGAAAAACTGTATGTTGAATAGTTTTATTCAAAACTATTTTCTATTTCTTAATTACATTAGCAAAGCTTTTCCCCCAGTTTGCATTGGTGTAGACAAATATCCTTTTGGATAGAATTAACAAATATGAATGTTTGAAGTTTTTTGTTCTCCAATTTATTGTTATTTACTTTTCTTTCAGTCAATTTATACAGCTGCCCATCTGGCAACAGTCACTGCCTATCACTAACATATATTAAAAACTCAAATACAACCAAATGAAAATAAATATTTCAAATGCAGTGGTTGGCAGTTCCCTCGGTTCTTCTTTGCCTCTAATGTGTCATCCTTCAGGCGTTTGGCATTTTACCAAATTCTTCAGAGTTTGAAAAAGTGAAATCAACAGGCTCCTTGACTGTTTTTTATGCAATTCATTCAAACTTAAGAGATTTAATCTCATTAAAATAATAGAATTTCCATTGGTCTCAACCTGAAGTTCTGTACCTTTAACCTGCACTTCAGATTTTCCTGGTGGAATATACAGTATAAAGAATTTTTACAAATTGTTTATGAACTATAATAATGTTATGTTTCTATCCAGTTTCTTCTAGGACAGGGGTAGGCAACCTTGGCTCTTTTATGACTCGTGGACTTCAACTCCCAGAATTCCTGAGCCAGTCATGCTGAGGGGAAAGGGAGCGGTTTCCAAGCTGAGCCATGCTGGCTCAGGAATTCTGGGAGTTGAAGTCCACGAGTCATAAAAGAGCCCAGGTTGCCTACCCCTGTTCTAGGAGGTTAAGAAGGGGTCTTACACAGGGGACCATTTCATTTTATGATTTGGCTTTCCTAAACAACGGATGTTCTTGTGTAGACTAATCCAGTTACATTCAGTTAAAATATCCAAATACTATTGCTTTGTTCCTTGAACAATAGGATGCTGGGAAGCTTTCTGCACAGTAGTACAGAATTTTACACATAATAAGAAAACTACTCTGCTTATACCAAAGTGCTTAAAATGATAAAGAGAAACTGAGGCTTGGCAGGTATCTTTCAGAGACACAGCAATAGGGGCAACACATGGACTGAGAGGGCTGGTGGGGAGGTGGGTATGTGTGGACTTATCTGCATTAAGTCTCACAGCTGGGACTGAGAGGTGCCTCTTCACGCTGTATATAGGCATTCACTAATGAGCATTTTACTGCTGCAAAAATATTTGAAGCCTCAACTCAACTTCAGTCTTGACATGCACCTTGGACTCCCATCTCCTCGTGCTTTCCTGACTGTACTCTGTACTGCTTATCTCCTGCAAAGTTTGCTTGGATTTTTTGATGCTGGAATGATTCTCAACCTTACTCTTTCCTGGCCTTTACTGTTCTTAAGCCTTAAAGTAGAAAAAAAAAATTCTGTTCTGTATCTGTCAGAACCCACTTTGAATGCTGTTTCTACTTCTGGACGTCACACTTTTAAGAAGAATTTGGAGACACAACCAAAGATCATAAAGGTGATCAGAGAATAGCAAACATAATTGTGCAAGATGAACTATGAGAACTGAGCATGTTTGTAGAAGACAAAACTATGGATATGATAGCATTCTTCAAATACCTAAAATAATGTCAGATACAAAAGTCAAGTAAATTTTTAATCTTAGACTGCAGATTGTGGAAGTTGAATAATAGAAAAGGATAGTTCATCAATGGGATCAAATTTGTTGAAGTAATGGCTGGATATATATTTGCTTGGAATGCTCTTCTTTCAATTGCTACAATGGGCAATAATAAACTAGACTAGTCTAGAATCTGGAAGAGACCTTGGATATCTTCTAGTCCAGCCCGATGCTCAAGCAGGAGAACCTATACCATCTCAGACAAGT